ATCATACAAGTCTTTCGTCGGTCAAATCCGATGCGTGGTTGCGGAGATTTGCTCAAAAGGGGGCTCAGAAGTATGATACTGCATCTACCACAAAAAATTCCGACTGTAACTTCGCGCAGAGAGCTCCGATCGACACCAATAGCTTAAGTGATGGCTGTGAATCGTGGAAACACAACGCGATTTACATAGTTGGTGTCGATGAGAAATCTCTGCGAGGAGGCACGGTCGTTTTATTTATGGCAGATACAGTATGTCATACCGCTGAGCCCCCTTTCGAGTATATCTCCGCAACCACGTATCGGATTTGACCGTCGAAAGGCTTGTATGATTGGTGTGGGTCATAGCTACACAACGCAATATATTTTGAGCCAATTGAAGCTCTGTGGGCTGAGATACGGGCGGTGACGTATATAAGAAATAACGCCACCGGTGACGTAAATAGAATTATCGTTTTTTTTAGTGGTGCCGGCGTGTATTGTGCTCTACGGTAGTCAGCGTCGCACTGCTGTACAATATGCATAGTACAGCAGTACTGCTGTGGACGAGATATGCTGCGGCACTGCTGTATGTTCCTGCATGGTACTGCTACTTCGACGAGCAAGTTTTTATTTTTAAAAAAGACAGCAGGAACATACCGCAGTACATACAGTTTTCTACAGCTGTAATATCGTTTCTCCCTTGGTTTTGAGTTGCTCGTCCCCGGTTCTACATATATATACACCAGAGGGAGCCTTACGCATACGTGCCGTGGGCGGCTGCATCTACGCATCAACACTCACCGCCGAAGAAGGCGTTGACTTCCAGCGAAGGGCGGAGTAGCTCGACGAGCTTGTGGAAACTGCCTTTCTCCATGCGGTACGACCGCCGCCAGCCGCGCCGTTTATCGAGGTCCGCCTCGTGTCGGGCCCCCGGAAGTCGCTTGGGCTCGTAGATGGGCTCCCGTTCCTGAGGGCAGTGGGCACGATGAGCTTCATCTGCTGCCACGACGCCCGCCGCCACTGCTACGGCCCTCAGAAGACCCAGGACCGTGAATCTCTTGTCTTCCTGGGCTGCATTCTCCTCGTCGATAGCTCGTCGACGGCGCTTCCCCGGCGTTGCACTGCGGGGTCTGTGGGATCCTGGCGCTTCCCGCGCTCAGCCATGGTGGTCGACTTGCCTTGGGAAGCTTTTTGGGGTGTTGTGGGTGCTGTCTAGGTGTGGTGTGATGAAGGCAGCACGCGTGACCGGTGTCTGCTTCGGCTGCCTGGAAAAAGCGGGGCGTTTTTCCCCAGAGNTTGTCTTCCTGGGCTGCATTCTCCTCGTCGATAGCTCGTCGACGGCGCTTCCCCGGCGTTGCACTGCGGGGTCTGTGGGATCCTGGCGCTTCCCGCGCTCAGCCATGGTGGTCGACTTGCCTTGGGAAGCTTTTTGGGGTGTTGTGGGTGCTGTCTAGGTGTGGTGTGATGAAGGCAGCACGCGTGACCGGTGTCTGCTTCGGCTGCCTGGAAAAAGCGGGGCGTTTTTCCCCAGAGCCGTGAAAGGAGCAAGCCCCAAAAAATCCCGGCTCCCTCTTTTCACGTTTTCAGGGAAAAACGCCTCCATATGTGTTCAAGCAAAAACGGTTCAGTTAAATATTCCGCGTTTTTTCGGTCGATAAGAACCACCTTCTCTTCTTACATGAATGTCACCACGGGAAACAACGAGAGACTATTTGATTTGCCTGAAGAGGGCAACCCGGTTGCGACAGGTAGTCTATGGGCGTGGTTGCCCTGCGGTGACAAGATGCGGCCTCTTCACGCGCCTCCATGAACTATCACGACTGCACATGGTATTGTTGTAAATCAGGGTGATCTGGTCGTAGCAGCAAGGCCACAACCTGACGTCGAGGGGATTGTGCATGTCGTGACCCTGTCGCCGCAAAGGGTGGCATGTCCAGGTCACGACAGCCATCGTCACGGCAACCCCAAATGGTCAAGACCCAACACAGCAGCATATATCTAGAAGCCGACAAGACGACAATGTGCAGATGGACTCATCTTTGCCCCACGACTCACGTTGTTGGCTATCGTTGTGTCCCGTCAGATGGATTCCGCTACTGCTGTCAGAAGCTGACTACAGCAGTACATCAGCAGTTTGTTGACGTCGAAATGTGCGAGTATGTATGCAGAATCTAGACAGGAGAGAGGAGCAGCAGCGGGCGCGGAGGAACATGTAGTCTACCGGTTCGAGAACCCCGACGTGCCGAGGACTACATATTGTACACCAGCTATCACTGATGATATCATCAGTGTATTAGACTTCAATTTGCTCGAAATACATCCAGTACCCAGCCGGTTTTCCTCCACTCACTGAAAAGACTCCACCACATCCCGTTCGACTGCGCGTATATCTCGAACAACGGGTATTCTTTTTGTTTTTTTCTTAATATCACACAACAACAAATCCATCTCTATCAACAGAAATAAGTCATAAAGGGTGTGATAGTCTACATTGTTCACCTGACATTTTACAAAAAAAAAAATGAGAACGGGGTGTGTGTGGTTTTATTATTTATTAGCATCGACCGCGCTAACCGGCTGACCAATGAAAAGACGTCAGTCTTAGTGCGGTTTTGTGTGTGTGTGGACATACATACCCGGTCGCCCCGGTGGCCTAGTGGGTAACCTCGCAGCCTGCTATGGGCCAGGTCATGGGTTCGAGTCCCGGCAGAGTGAGTTTTATTCTCACTTAATAAATCCTGGTCTAAGATGAAAGCGACGCGCTGCAAAGCTCGTTGTTGGTAAACCATAATCAATCGACTTCGTATGTCGCGAGGGAAGGGATTGCTCTATGTACCCTTCTCGCGATAAAAATACCTCAGGCAGGAATCGCAGGAGGGGGTCCACCCCCCCCCTCCTATGTGACCCCGGTTGGGTCGTCTAGCTAGTGAGAGTGGAGGATAGGGGCCAGAGGGGCAGACGACAGAGTCCAATGATGGGAGATAAAACAAAACAAAATACCAGCTTCTTCGAAATATGTATGTATGTAATTCCGCTGTCTTACCTTGACCTTTGATATGCAACAAAGCTAGCCCACACTACCATAGGAGGTTGTCATGTGGACGGCCGTGGAGCGCCAGAACTAAAACATAAATGCGCATGTTTGAATTCGTCATGCCACCAAAAATATTTCACGCCTATGTACGTTGTCTGTATGTACCGACAGCAGCAGTACCGTAGTGACACAAGATAGCGCACCCCCTTGGCCGATTGTCGAAGCTCGATTTCTCAACTGCAGGAACAGCAGTCACAGCGCCGAAAACAGCGGCGTTGGAACCGTCTTGTCGATCGAGAGCTTTCCAAAAATGTATCGTTTCGTTTATGCATCCTCTTCGTCGTGGAGTAATCGAGCTTTAAACATTGGTCCAGGGGGTTTGTTATCTTGTGTCATATACGGTAGTCTAGTGTCTTTTTTTTCCCTAGACTATGAACAGCAGTAGTCTAGTACCGCCGTACATGTGTAGTGCTCGACCTTTCCATGGGTTGCCGAAAACGACAACCAAAAGATACCCTACTGGAGAAAACTATCGACGGTCCACAGTGCACGGTGGACGGGAGCGTGGCAGCTGTTCTACTTCTGTTCTACGCTTCATACGTTAACTATGTACATACATCATCCAAGACATGTATAGCAGCGCTTGCATACCACCGACCGTTGATAAATTCAAATTCAAATTCATGCTACATGCGCTTTGTTGGCGTACTACATAGGTAAGTGCTGCTGCTGTGAGCATGTTGGACAGGAATAACCCTTGTGCTTGTCACATATCAGTACTCGGGTTACTCGTCCCAAGGCGCCGACCCATACAACGGCTGCAGCGCGGGTGTCAGGGTGCTGTTGCGCGAGGACACTTGAGGGTGGATGCGGACGCACACATGGATCTACAGCACACAAATCAGCTAACAAACGACCCACGAAGCCTCTGCCACTATAACCCCACTCCCTCGCACTGTCTCCATGGTCTCTTTCCCATCTGAGTCCACACGATTCAGCTTCTGGCCCACGGTCGGCCTTCAGGACGTTCTCTCCAGCGGTCAAGATAGAGCCGGACACAAATAACGGAAGATACCACACCCCCCCGCTTTGCGCTGTGACCTCGGTAGAGTTGCTCAAATCGCGCAGTACTTGTAGGGTGTTCTTCTTGGTGGGTTAGGTATCGAAAACACCCTGGTACAAATTGGGATCGGCACTACAGCCGGAGATGTTGCAAGGTTTCTGTCATTCCCTATGGCTAAGCAGGATCCGGGGGGGGGGGGG